ATACAGATATGTATGTATGTATATATATATATATATATATCAGAAATCTGTAAAACATGTACACATTTACAGACGCACAGGCATGCAGACATACATACATGCCTGCACATGTCCATGTGCCTGTGTTTTTGAACTTCGTTTACCAGTCCTTAAAAGAACCCGTAACCGTCAGGACAGACTCGAACCGCAAACCTACACCCTGAACCCTGAACCCCAACCACCCTATAGCTTTGGGGGTTGAGTAGGGCTTGGGCTGGGATGGCTCGATTTTGTTGGCTCAGCGGCTATTGCATTCCTGGGAAAGCATGCACCGAATTTGACTTAGAATAGTGCTTCCAGATGCTTCAAGGTTCGGGGGTTGGGACTCAGGATTCTTGGTCACGAACACTGGGGCTTGCAGGGTTCATCGCTCCTCGTTGGGTGCCAAGTTTAGGTCTTAGAGCGAGAAGGAGAGATTGACTGTTCTCCGAGTTCGTTGAGTCCGCAGTGCCCAAAGGCAAAACACCACATGCGGCTTCGTTTGGGAGTTCAAACGAGTTGTGCAGCTGGCTTGGCACGTGGGATGGAGACTCCGTTAACCGGTTTCAGAAATGCTGGCTCCGCAGAAATACGATTGATAAGACACGTTCTTGATAAAGCACTATTTACACTTCTTGTCTTCTGGACCCCCTACTGGCGACTGGCTGAGACCCAGGAATGTCTGCAAGACTGTGAGAACTACCGAATGCTTCAGCCACTATTCGACGTGAGATGCCCCACGATCAAAACTTCTCAAACCCCAGGCTCCAAGCCCCTAAGCCCGAGAAGCTTACAGGCCCAAGCCTCAGATCCTGCCCTTCATTGCCCTTCGGTGCTTTGCTACATGTTCGTTCGTCGTACAAGGAGCTGCAACAGCAGGCCCCGACTGCGAAAGAGGTGGGAGGGAGCGTGCGTAGCGGCGGCTCTGGGTGTCAAGGTTCAGGGCTCTGGGCTTCTAAACCCCGCAAGTATGATTCACTTTGTGGGTGGCTCAGGGTATATAGGATTCAGATTTAGTGCCGCCTCAGACCCCATCGAGAATTGACGAGTTTGCGGATTCGGGGATGAGATGCCCCCCAGCTGATCTAGATGCGGTGTCATGTTTTTGTTTTCGGTTTCTGCTTTGGGGTGTTAGGAATAGCTCCAAGGTTCAGGCGCATGCACCATCCCAGGTTAGAGTCCACAGAAGAGTTTCCGGGACCAAGGAAAAGCTAAGGATGGATCATGCTTTCGAGCTCAAGGTCTGGGGTTCCTGTAGAGTTGAGGGCCGTAGGTCGACCTTGCACCCTCCCAACTAGCTTCTAGCACACCCCTACAATACCAGCCATTGGAGACTGTATATCATATCCATTGAGGCCAGCTTGGGATGCCTTGAGGGATCTCAGAGCGTAGACTTCACAGTCTCATTGTGGAGCGGCAGCGCGACACATGAAGAAGACTCGAGGCCTGAAGGGCCTATGCTTGAATTTGCAAAGATTTTGGGAAGATTATCAAGGGTTCAGTGTACGGGCTTAAGATGGGTCATCCGAAACCCTGGACCCTGAACCCTAAACCCCGTTGAATCGGAAAGCCTATAATTCCTAAGAACCCAAATGAGGAAGTGCACGAGGCCTCGAGCTCCAAGGGCTCCCTCCAAGTGAGCAGTTACGGGCGTCCGACCATTGTCGGCCCATGGTGAGCGCTCGTAAGTGTACATGTCAGAAAGAGTTATTGGGACATATGTATGTGCATATATATATATATATATATGCATATTGAGCATCCCAAATTAGCAGTCTGAAGCATAGCAGCAAACAGAACCCCTGACCCTGCAACTTTGAACTGTTAACCCTGCACCCTGCCGTTATGTACATACAAATTAGTTTTCAGCCATGTCTACATCCTGAATTGTAGTATGTTTGTTGTTGGACGTCCTATACTATGGTTAGAGTCCTAGAATAAGCCATAGATAAGCCATCAGAGGTTATCCGGAAACAACTTCCTTTCAAGCTGGGCTCCTTGTGGGATTCGAAACCTTGCGCCGCTCTTGCCTTCAGGCAGAGAAGATGAAGCGCAAGGCGGAAAAGGAGGACTCGGGTTTAGGTTATGCGTCTGGGGTTTTGGATATCTTCAAATCGCATGATCTGGGATCTTCAGAAAACAGAAGATCATGAAACAGGACTCCTTCCTAATTTGCAACAAGCCCCCGTATGCTGATAAAAAACGGATCCATTCACAAACAACTTGGTCGGCTTCTGAGACTTGGTCTTACGTTTCAGATGTTCGGCAGGCACTGGGTGCTCCAGGGTGTTCGTAGTAGGAGTTCGAAGCATTTTGGGTTTGACCTTGTGCGCCCGCGTTTTCGCACTTTTTGTGTTGTTGCATGGTCTGTTCTTCACATAACCTGAAGAATGCTTGGGATGTAGGGCAAGGGTTTACGGCTTAGGGTTTCCCTCTTGGGACACTTACTTGGAGCACTATTTTCGGAGTGTTTTTTGTAGCAGTGTCACCTGGTGTTTCCGAAAGCCAACCATGTTCCCTTACGATTTTAGGGTGTAGCCAGCAGGTGCTACATGCTTGTAGTTGAGGCTGCTGATCTGGATAGTTATCTTGCCAATTCGTGTGCTTCACCAGCTTCGAATGTTGCATCAAGCGAGCTTTGGGGAGTAAGAGCTTGAACTGGCGACCTTTTGTGTGTGTCTAGAGCCTAGACGTTCAGAGCAGCAGGCCGGAGCCGTTTAGGGGACCGAACAACTTGAGTTCCTTTGCACGCCCCACCTCCCAAAACCTCAGCTTCAAAACCACATTACCCCTGTACGCAGCGAGCCTTGGATTACCTGCATTTGCTGAGATGCGCCTCTTTCCCTACAGCGTCAGACCGAACTCTGCATCTCACGGTCGACCTGCGGCATATAGGTTAGGACATGTGAAAGCTGAGAATGGAGGATGTAAAGTTTATCAGGTCTGGGCTCCAGGGTGCCAGTTGGGGACATTATGGTGCAACCCTTTGGACTGTCGGAGAGGAGCCGACAAGCAGGGAATGGAAGCTCCCGAAGCCGGATCCCGTTTTGTAGGCCCCCGCTGCTGAACCCTGGTCTTGTAAGCTTGTAGCCCGGAATCTTGATGCACGTGCTCGGCATAGAACCTCGAGAACGCAGTTACCCCTGAGTTCAGCTAACGCATCGTAAAACCACACAGCGGCCCCGTACTTTCAGGTTGGTTTTGTGTTGGGGGAAATAATGGGGCTCCAAACGAAAGCAGGAGAGAGCTCGGCAAAAAGCCACCCAACTGCACTCGACCGAGGGCGTTTCATCATAGCAGGGCTTCTTGAACATGTCGGTCTCTGTTCAGACAGAGGCGCTTTCTGTTTGCCTAGCTAACAGCTAACTAGAAGGGATCGGCACAATCTGGACCCACGCAGGCTTCAGCTGCTCATGCATTCATAAGGAGGTTTGAGCTAGGATGCTTGTTTTGACGCAAAGTAGGTCACTTGCAGCATCTGCGAAGTTCCCGCGGGACAGTGAGGAGTACCCCAAGCCTAAATCCAAAGAGCTCCCGAACCCCAGATTTCCTGCGAGTGTGGCAAACGGGGCTAAAGCAGCCGAGGCTTGCAGACAGTTGTCTATTATGGGGTCAAGGATGTGGGACATAGGGCAGTGTAGGAGACTACGTACTCCCAGGCTGCAAACCATCTTGTGATTCTGACAATATGCTGTCAGCATCGGATCCACGAAGAACCAGCAAAACGCCCGAGACTTGAGGGCCCGATACAGACAAAATTGTCGCTTTATTCAGTCTCTTTGTTTGGGCCGCTCTTCACCGTCCTTGCCGAGAACTTGCTTGCAGCACGCCGAAATTCAGGGATGCTGATTGCAACACTGTTGGAAATTGTAGCCAGTGTAGCTTTTTCGACTCACCGGCAGTACACGACCAAGCTCCAACGACATGGGACGATCTCGGCAGGCTGGGGCTTCGGAACCCTGAATCCGAAACCCTAAAGTAGGAAGCCCCGAAAGCCAGAGGCGTAGACCTCCTCAACATTGTGTTGTGCCGCCCCTTCCCAGGAAAGCGCCCTTAAGGAGAAGATCCGCAAGGCTGGGCTCAGGATTTAGGGTTTGGGTTTGGGATACTTTGGGCAAAAAAGGGGGGGTACAACGCCTTGGAGTTTGGGCTTCTAGCTTCCAGGGAAATGTGCTTGGGCTTCCAGCAAACGTCGGGATTTAGGGTTTTCGGGTGGGGCGCAGAGGCAGTGACCAAGCCTTGACCCCAAACACCACCCACCCCACGAGACTTCAGGTCAGGCAAGTTTAGGACAAGGCCCTTGTTGTTTGTGTATATCGCGTTGATGATTGTGCTTTGAGATATAACACGACTTATGTGTGATGAGGGTTGCCACGGGCCACTGCAAGAGAAGCCGAACATAAAGTTCAAGGCCTACCCCAAGGCCCCAGGTCGCGTCTCCAGTTCAGGGGTTCCTACTTCGGATGTTCGGGGGTTTTGGGTTCTGCGTGGGGCTTTCGGTGTTGGGTTCGCAGGTTTCGGTTGAAGGTCACTGCCTTGTACTATGCATGAAGCCCTGAGGCTACTTAAAGCCCTAAGCTTCAAGCCGAAGCCTGTAAACCCTAAACCTCCTTCACCCGAAACCGAAAAACCCAATTCTCAAAGCCTGAACTGTGACACGAAAGCCGAACCCGCGAGCTTGCACTGGCCAAGCACGACCACCCAAACCTCGGCTATCACGACATTGCAACCCAAAACCCCTTTGTAAATCCCAAAGACTTCAATCTTCGAGCCTTATAAATCAATGAAGCCTTTGGCCTTACAAGCCCTAAACCCTTGCACCCTTCTTAAGCCCTATCGGCCCCACCCTTACACCTGGGTCGTCCTAAACCCTCACCCTCTTGAGCCTATTGGCCCTTGCAAGAAGCAAACCCTCAAACCCTGAGCCTCGAACTACAAAACTCAGTTCTCGCTTGAATGAAAAACCTTTACAGGCAAGGCGGCACAAGATGTGCAGACATACACGTCAAAAAAAAGCAACGGCAGCAATGAACCAGGAGATGACATACGAATGATACCATGCACAGGATGTTTAAATCGTATATGGACAATCATAACATTCAGCACTGTTATAGCATCAGAAAAATAACGCCAGGAGCTCCTGGCAAAGGCCGGGTCGGAGCGTGGGAGCCTTGCCTCGGCCTCGCTGGGAGCCAAGGCCAGTCAAGGGCTCGCCCTTGAAGGTTTTAGGGTGGTCAGGGCTTAGGGTTATTGAGTTTAGGGATGTTTTGGAGTTTTGCCGGAGCTGGGAGATTGAGTAGGGTTTAGGGCTCAGGTTTTTGGGAGTAGGGTGCAGGGCTGGGTGAGGATTATTTTCGATTTTTGACAACGGAGCAGTTTTGGGTCTTATGGAGTTGGATGGTTTTGTCTGAAATCCTGTGAAGCCGTTGCCGTCAATCGGAAGGTGAAGAAAAAGGAGAAAAAGGACAAGAAAGACAAGACAGGTGGGAGAAGGGCATTGACCGTCGCAGAGGGTGTGAGGTCCAGCGTGTCAGTTATCAGGATGGATGTTGATGATGGTGATGTTGATGACGGTGATGATGATGGTGCTGGCGAAGATCATAATGTTGCTAGTGATGGCGATGATGATGGTGATGATGATGATGATCATCATCATCATCATGATAACGATTATGATGATGACGATGATGACGGTGATGATGGTGAGTTGACAGCGAGACTGCTAATATGTGTGATCGTTTCGCTTGCATTCGCTTGCGCGGGCTTATTGGCATTGCGGTTGCGACTACGGTGATCTGACGTCACGTTAGATACTTAATTCCGTTCTGCAACGACCAGCCATATTGCCACGACGGCTGCTGCTGGGGCCGCTCCTCCACCTGCTGCTACGTCTAACCATGCCTGCCTAACTGCCTGCCATATCCTGCCAACTAAAGTACCTACTGACCTACCGATCTAAGGATTTGCCTGCCTACCCTGCCTACCCACCTCATCTATCTACCTCCTCCATCAGTCCATCTACCTCACTGTTCGTGATTCCCTCATCTGGGGCACCGTCGTTATTAGTAATGTTATGTAGTAGTATACATGCTTGCATTTTGTTCTTCGGTTTCCATGTTGCACGTTGCCTCCTTTGGAGGCTGTGCTGGTTTAAGATGCGTGGCTTTCCCCTGAACTCCGATCATCTTCTCCATGCTAGAAAGTGCCGTGCCACTATCTTGTCTCAATCGTTCAATCCAAGAGCATGTTTACCCGTACTGCCTTCGGCAATCATCCACCCTCCTCGTCCTCTTCCTCGTCTCCTCGTCCTCGTCCTCCTCCCACTCCTCCACCTCCTCATGCCCATCATCATCATCATCATCATCAGCAGCATCGCCATCATCAGCAGCAGCATCATTGCCATCACAACCATTATCATCAGCATCACCATCATCACCATCAGCCGCAGCATCATTGCAAACACAATCATGATCATCATCATCATCATCATCATCATCATCATCATCATACTTATCAGGATGCAGCTCATTGACATTAATCAAGATACGACTCTTGGAAGTGCCGTGGTTAACAATGATACTCTTTCATTTGTTTCCACTGTCTGCTCGCTCAATAGTTTTCGTGGCCCGAGGCCCACCCAGTGAAAGGGCAAACCCCCTTTAACAGCCTGGGGCTGACTTCAGCTTGCCGGGCCAAACCTGGAGAGCAAGTTGTTGGTTTAGTCTTGCCGTCAAGAACCCATGAGAGGTTCCAGGATGTTTGTGCGAGTCTTTTTGGGGCTCCGTGGCAATCTTTTCAGTGTCGAGGGATCGAAGGCCTTTGGGTTGGATATCTAGTTCGTTTGACACCTTGCAAAACTGGGTGGTTTTTCTGAATCCAGACCCGAAGAAACTCAACCACGAATCCCGCAACTTCAAACCCCAACACAAAGGGACCCCCGTGTTGATCGTAGTAGATGCCCTTGCCTTGTCTTCATGAAGAGGTTCTAGTCTTGAGGCCGTGAACTGAATGACTCACTTGAAGCCGAAGCCCGTAACCTGAAATGCGAAAGCTCATGTAACCTTAAGCTCGAAACCCTAGATAAGAATCATAACTAAGACCCCAAGGCTCATCCTGAAAATTCCAAGCCCAACACCCTGCAAGCGCGGGCTGACAAGCCTGCGAAACGCACATCTTCGCCGAAAGATCCGGCGGAGCAAAAGGCAGACTCATCGAAAGTGGGGTTTATGTCAGTATCTTCAAGCCCTAATTAAGGTAGTTTGCGACAAGGACTCAATGACCCTTATCTGGCTACGATCTATGGCTTGCCCCGCATATATATATATATATATATAGAGCCCAGAACCTTGTTCCAACTGTTCATCGTGTAAGGCCTGCTAGGGATGGAGTTGTCTTTGTTCTGATCGAATTACCTCTTGCTGTTTGATTCGCTTGAGGTTTGGTTTGATTCACAGGTACACCGTAGCGGCTTAATGCCCCACATAGGCCCTCAGCCCGGAAACTGTGGGCACCTGTTGGAGTTTGGGGATTCCAGTCTAGATTTCTGGCCTAGGGTTCGCACACAGCCTTTCGAGTTTCATAGCCCAGACCCAACACCGGACCATACCCCAGACCCAAGGACGCCCCAAACCCCCAAAGAGCTATTGTTTGCAACAGCTGGACCATCGCGGCTTGGAGTTTTTTTCGCAGTTGTTCAACAGATCCAGAAGACTTCGGGTTTAGAACTTAGGCTGTGGCCTGCAGGAATGGGAACACGGGCTTCGAGGGGACTGATACTCGATTACTAGAGCCGAACGCATTTCGGGCCGAGGGGTGATGAGGGGTGATGAGGGAATAATGTCTTCAGTCTCTGTTGCCGACTGCATGTTTCGAAGTGATTTGCAGTTGCACTTGTGGCTTGGGAAGATTGAGCCGTGTCCTCTGCAGGGGTTTCTTGTTTGTACCAGAACGACGCTTGAACAGCAGATTGAGGCCCCTACTTCACACAAGGCAGCGCAGAGGACCCCAAAACCTCATTGTACTAGACATCCACTTCCTGCGTCGGAGCTTGGTTTGTGTGTGAGGCTGTGAGGGTGGACCGCAACCCACTAAACCCTACTACTCTTCGTGCCAAAACGTGTGCAACGCCCTTATGTTGTTTCCCCCTGTGGCAGGCCGCCTTCCGAGGGACAAAGACTGCCCGGGGAAGGCGGAAAGCAAAGGCGTGATGTGCCAGGGTTTTGGGTTGTCTCATTTCGGTGATTTAGGATTGCAGGGTGTGTGAGTTCTGGTCTTCAATATTAGCTTCCACTTAAAAACTCAATCGTGAGAGCTCGGTGTGTGGTGCATTCGGACTTGGAAACTTGATACAGTTTCGTCTGGCTTGTTGTATCTTCATGTCGGATGTGCGAAATTGTTTGAATGTCAGGCCAACGGGATGTGGTTTCGTGTCCAAACAAGGTCTGCGTCGCAGATCACAGCCCTCCAGCCGAAGGGCATTAGGCCCAACACCCACATGTCCACAGTCCCGGTATGAGTTTGGGTTGCGGCTAGAGCGCGACACAGACGGCACAGTCCCGGATTGTGGTAACCTCTCAGCTAATGAAAGTCGCACGGCCTTCGGCATCAAGCCCTGCTGCAAAGCACGAGCCCGGTAAAGAAGCAACCACAAGTCCTCCAAGCTGTAATTGTCTTAAGCCCTCTGCCTTTCGAAGACCTTACAGGGAGTTTCAGAAAACACTCTAGCACCATAACTCTCGGATCCTGATTGTACGATTTCCGAAAATTCAACAATAAACTAAAATCTTTTTTTATATAATAGCTTGAAGCCCGGTGCGGAAGGAAGAGCAGCGCGACGAGCCTGCTCCCAGCTGTACAGAAGAAAGGCATTCAGGGAAACTGTTTTCAGGGCCTATGGTTTGGCTCTGGGCATGTAGGTAATGAGGTTTGGGGGCTTTGCGTTTCGGGGTGGGCAATCCATCGAGGCGTACCTACACGTGCATCGTGCAACCTTGCAGGGACGTCCTCCCGACATTCGACTGCCACACCTATCAGCTTTAAGATGCAGGGTCGTGATTGCTGAGCTGTATGCAAGTCTTGAAAACCTAGGTCGGCGAGGTCGGTGAAGTAGTCCCCCCAGCTCTATAGTGCTCAAGATCGACCCTGTGCGAATGGTTCTTGCACTCAGGCACAAGTCCGCAGCCTCCCTCGAGACCATGGCTAAACCACCCGTGTACGGATCCTGGGTTTCAATGACTGCTCTTGTTTTTCCCGCAGGACCTCATGCGCATCTGTAGGCCCGTGAACCGAACATCCCAAACCCTGTACCAACCTCAGTCTATACTTCACAAAGCCATAAGAACGAAGTGCATGTCCCACCAAACTCTGAGTTCCCTCCAAGCCCTGGACCGTAGCCTTGAGTCCGAATTGCAGGCCTGAGTCGGAGACGGGGAAGCGCCCCCGAAGGCTCTTCGGAGTCTCGGATTCTCCTTGGGTTTTCGGGTTGTGCTAGGCCTCGTGGCTTGAATTCGGAGATGCTCTTTTCTGTCCTGGGCTTGCAGGTGTAGAGGCATTTCTCTACCGCACTAAGCTGCAAATCCTACCTCAGACATGCCAGGGTGACTCTTGGTTTTCACACCGTTGCCGAAGTCTCGATGAGTAATTTAGGCGTTCACCGGTGGCATGTAGTGTTTCAGGGCCAGTGGGGACATGTACGCGATTGTGGGGGCGACTCTTTTTCGGGCCTGTTCTGGCATTGGCAACGGGCACAATTGGTTAGTATGTTAGTATGTGCGCCTTGTGTGGTCCGCATAGTTTGCGCGCCTGGCCAAGTATCTGTATGGGATCCGTGCGGCCGCCTTCCTGTAAAGCCAGGATTTATCTTCGAAGTGTTTGAGTTCATCCAGCACGTGGGTGGAACCATTTTGGCTGTCCAGTGGATGGGGAAAGCTTTTTGGCTGACCTCCACCAGTGTGGTCTCCCGATCGTGGGGGTTGTCGTGGTGGCGGTCGTCTTGGTCGTGTTCTCGTCATGGTCGTCCTAGTGCTGTATCGCTGTTTCGGGATCTACGGCATCACTAGGGTTTGCGGCTTTTTTGTGTCTTGTAATAGGACCCAAACCCGAAACTCTAGACTTTTCGGCCAAATGAACTTTGAACCGTATATGCCTAGGGTGGTTGATGTTGCAGAAACTTGACCTAAAGTCTTGAAACCTGAAGTTTGTCGGCCCAGAATTAAGGTCGAAATTAGAGCTCCTACCCCAAACCCGGCAAGATTCTTGTTTGAGGTGTGTGTACTTAACCTCAAACCCAATAAAGCCTTCATCTCCTAAGACCTTAAGCGCCCAAACCCTTGAATCCGAAACCCAGCAGCACATGAACAACGCAGCAGGCCCCGCTGGAACACCAGTATCGCAGCCGCATGGCCGACCTGAATCGCTTCGGAGAGGCCAGGCGAGGAGGGCTACTTTCAAGGCGTAAGAGGTAGGAGCTTGGGCTTCGGGGTTGAGGACGACTTCGTTTTCGGTTTATGGCTGAGGTTTGAGGGTAGAGGGCTTGAAGGTTGCCAGTGGTAATTTTGCGGAACATGGCTTGCGACCAGTGGGGCATCTTGAGATTTCCGGGTGTAGGTTCGATTCCCGTCCAAGAGCCAGGGGACCACAACCCTGAAAATCCATCTATATAAGCCCTAAAACCCAAGTGTTGAACCATACTAGGACCAAAACACCACTGAGTCCAAGATCCAAGTATTCACTTCCAGTCCCTGTAGGAAAATTAGGTCACAAAATCCTATTCTGATTATGTGGCTCGGGCCGAGCAGGCGCCTAGGCCTAGACCCCCCCTCCAAACCTTGGCCGATCCCCAGAACGCAGGCCAAAACGAAGAATCCTCAAGACATTCTTCGTTGTTGCCTTCGATCGGACCTTCGTTTTGGAAGAACGAAAATGAAAGCAAAGAGTGTGTGGTGATTGAAATTATGACGTTTTCCAAGATCGAAAATGACAAACTAACCATGAGGAAGCTGAGAACGGTTTCCAAGAATGAACATGCAAGCGCACGGGCCGCAGCCGGAAACAAAGCTATCATGATAAAACATTGGTCTATAAAGCCACCTATATGGCTGTAAGCTTCGCATGAGCGTTCTGCACAAAACGAGTTGAGGCTGCCAGGATCCCAAGACCGAGCCAACCAGGGATGAATTCACACAAGACGCGTGGTAACAGCCTCAATTTTGCACCCATGCTTCAAACCGAGCAACAGCACTGATGCGAAGTGACGACTTCCTCGCCGCTGCTGGGTATGTTGAACATTGTCTCCATCTCTGATGAGGTGTTTCTGCACAAGTCTGGCCGCCTGCTCGGTTTGGCGAGAAGTATTAACGGCCCTAATATGTATAGACATATAAATACGAAGTTAACGATAGCTAGCTGAATTGAAATGAAGATGTAGATACGTAAACTGACACATAAACTATATTCACACACACGCACATGTCTGTATATATATATATATATGTAAATGTGTATGTGTGTGTATATATATATATATATGTATATGTATATAGATGCGAATATCTACATATCATGTATAGAAATAAGCACACACACATATATATATATGTATATATATACACACGTATGTGAGACACGTGTATTAGGGTACATGCAGGAAGGTCCTCGCATCCGAACTTCAGGACCTCACCCGGCTGCCACGTCGAACTGACGTCCACCGCCTCCGCTGAAGAAAGCGCAGAAACGCGGGGATCCTAGTCTAATCACGAGTGATAATAAGACCCTCCCCTTTCAGTCCTTGCTGGTATTATAATTCTGATCTTCTAGTAGAACGAAGGCCCTCATATTGATATGCGGTCATCACGCCCCTGAGATTTGGGGCTTAGGGCAACGAAGCGGCGGCAATCGTCTGTACAACCCGATCGGCGCTTGTAGCTTTTGTTATTGCTCTGCACATTGGCAGTTCTCGAAGCTAATTAAATGTGACGGAAGGATCCTGTGATGCTTTTGCGTTTCTTCCGGTTTGTCTAATCCGGCCTAAGGAATCGGAGAAGAACATGCCACAATGTGAGAGGTTTTTGCGGTTTCAACTCTTACCGTTTACACCAAGAAGTTGCAACCGTGGATTGAAGTAGTTCGATGCTTCATCTTTCTGGTGTTGCTTGATGGGGGTTAAGAAGTATAAGGTATTGGTGTTTAAGGTTTAGAAATTCAGAGTTCGTTTTTGTTAGATGCCCGGGGTTCTGGGAAATTGTGGGTGGGATTAGATTGAAATGTAGACTCTACCGAGACATACCGCATCCACAAAAACCCGCACGGAATATTTCGATTGCACATGTCCGCATGGCTTCCTTATCCGAAAGTGCTGGGCCTTAAGAAAACCAACGAGCCCAGATTCCCAAGCCATACTCGGAACAAGAGCTCGTGGGCCACTTGGAGCATCCGGCTTTGCGGGAAGTCGAAGGGTACTTAGGGTTCACTGTAGGGGCCTTTAACTATACCTTCTCTGTCTTCCTTGCCAGCTGAACATGACCGTCTGCTGTTTTCGTGTCTGAGCCAGAGGACTGCAAATGCATGACAAGGAAGAGGGGGCTAGGGCTTGGGCTGAGGAAGCTCAGGGTAGAGAAGAGACTTTGGCTCTAGGGTCCTGGAGCAACACCCGGTATTTCTCTTCCCTTCGAGTGATGTTGGTGTGCACCGCACCACTATCCAACACTCAACTTAGTTCGATGTCAGATCAGGCTTTGCAGGTTGAGTTTCTCAATTTTCAGATAGACTTGTAAGTGCAGAATAGGATGAACCGCGATTCCGAAACATTGAGCCCCAACCTGATCTTGTAACTGTAGCTGACACATCTGAAGCCCTTTTTCCGAACGTGTCTACATCTTGAACAGTGGTTCCGAATCGTGACATCAAGCCCTCTGCCCAACCCTGTTCGGTTTACATCATCCTATAGCCGGTTCACCTTCACCCCAAGCCCATGAAAGAGGGAAAGCGCAAGCTTGAGGCAAGCTTGAGAATTCCTGCCAACAAGACACACTTGGACAACTGGATAGCCTGGAAACCGTGCTCCAGCCTTGAGGTAACCCTTAAACCCGAACTGCTAAGATTGTTTTACCCAGGCACACACGCACACATGCACCCTTCCAGCTCTAAGCCCCAATCTGCGCGCAGCAGCAGGCGGAGGCCAACTGTTTACTGCTTCGGGGACGGGGAGGGGTGCTCGGTACTCCACAGCTGGCTTGCCGAAAGTGGACGCGTAGACTCAGACTGGGAGCACTTTGAACAGATGGGTTTTCAGGTCCCATGACAGGTTTGCATACTGATGGGCCAACCCTAAACTCCTGTTAAGTCGCAAAGTGAGCTGAACCTTCCAAGAAATTCCAAGTATCCCAGAATTCGCGCATTCAGGCAAAAGTGAGTTCACCAAAGATCTACAGCCACAGATGATTGTTATTCTACTTCACAAACAATAATAACGTAGTAGTGTAGGTATAGTAGTAGGAGTAGTAGTAGTA